CCTGGCTACTGATATCTCTGGCTAGCGGTCCTTCCCAAGATGGGACCAGGTGAAGGCCCCAGCTGCACACAGGATGGTCTATCAGTTGTAGCCTTCTTAAGGAGCTGCTCATCTTGAAGAAGCTGAAGGGTGGCTGAGTAGAGAGGATACAGGACGCTCTCCTCTGGAAATTGAGGCACCTGGGTGGCTGCTGATGCTAGTTCCAGGCCCATGAAGGGTGGGGGAGATGATGGCAGTGAGCACTTGTGGGCCTGCTGAGTCCAAGGGGCCCCTCAGCTGCCCTGGCCAGGAGCAGGGGACAGAAGTGGGCGTGGCCAAGCAGAAGATGCTGGATTCTAGAAAGCCACAAACTCCTGCCTGGGCTGTGGGTGGAGCAGCACCCCAGCTATGGGAAATTTCAGGAGTGTGGGTGGCTCACGGCACATCCCTGACCAGGTCACTTCTAACAGATTACCTCATCTGGACCCTAGCGGTCAGAGATGACCCACTTCACACCCTAGATGCCCTCAGGATCTGTTTGTAATAGAGGTCCTTCCACAGAGTCTGGGGCCAAACAGGTGCCCCAGACCTCAAACTTCTTTAGATCTTTAGATCTACATGTCCTGTGTCAAGGAGCTCCCTGCATTGGATCTGGGACAGCACCTGTGATTAAACACTGCTATGAGCTGAACTGTGTTCCCCAAAATTGGTGTGTTCAAGTCCTCACCCCCAGGACCTCAGAATATGGATGTATTTGGAGATGGGGTGTTTAACAAGATCATTAAGGTAAAATGAGGTCATATGGGTGGGCTTTAATCCAATCCTTATTTTATTTTATTTTTAGAGATTTTATTTATTTATTTATTTATTTATTTATTTATTTATTTATTTGAGAGAGTGAGTGATAGAGAGAGCACAAACGGGGTGAAGGGGCAGGGGCAGAGGGAGAAGCAGACTCCCCGCAGAGCAGCGAGCCTGACACCAGGCTTGATCCCAGGACCCCGGGATCATGACCTGACCTGAATGCAGAGGCTTCACCAGTTGAGCCACCCAGGTGCCCCTCAATCCTTATTTTAAAGGGAGATTAGGGTGCAGAGAGGAACGACCATGTGAGGACATAGAGAGAAGACGGTTGTCCACACTGCCAGGAGAGAGGTCTCAGAAAGACACCAACCCTACCCACATAATGATCTTGGACTTCCAGCCTCCAGAACCATGAAAAACAAATTTCTGTTGTCCAAGTCTCCAGTCTATGTGACTTCATTCTTGGGACCCTGGCCAACTGACACAAACACTGATATTTATGCAGTGAAAACATGATATTCACAGTAAATGGAATAATGTACATGCCACAGACGTCCTCACCTCAGTTCAGGTGAGGTTTGCCATCAAAGGAGGTAAGAAGAAATGTTTCCTTTTGAGAGCTTTTTGGGTTTCAGAATTGTGGCTGAGTGGGTTTGTAGGTGTAGGTAAAAGCATAATCGACTTACAGGAACTGCTAAATCATAAAGTGTATTTGGTAGCCCAGCGTCACTGACCACTTGTATTGCTTCGACTTGAGTTAAAGAATCTCTCCAAGTACCACCGAGGAAGGGCAGACACCAGAGGGACCCAGGAGGCTTGTGACAAAGAGGGCAGGGCAGAGGTGGGAGGGTATCGTGAACATCAGACTCCAATAGGCCCCGTGAAAAGGAACCCGCCGATTGGCTTAGGAAAACATACTTGACCCATCTTTGAGGGAAAAGCAAGTTTCAGACCACCCTGGTATTCGTTTCCCAGGGCTACCATAACAAAGTACCAAAAACCAGGGGGCTTAAAACAACAGAAATGTATTCTCTCACTGTTCTGAAAGCCAGAAGTCTAAAATCCAGTGTCAGCAAAGCCAGGCTGGGCCCTGGAAGTTCAGGGGAAGGATCCTTCCTTGACTTTTTCAGCTCGTGGTCGGTCCAGCAATTCTCGGTGTCCCTTGACTTGTAGATGCATCCCTCCAGTCTCTCCAACACTGCCATGCTCACAGGGCCATCTTGCCTATGTTTCTATTCTTCTCTTTTTATAAGGACATTAATCATATTGGAGGGGCGCCTGGGTGGCTCAGTCGTTAAGCGTCTGCCTTCAGCTCAGGTCATGATCCCAGGGTCCTGGGATCAGGTTCCTTGCTCAGCAAGAGAGCCTGCTTCTCCTTCTGCCTGTGCTCCCCCTGTTTGTGTGCGCTCACTCTTTCTCTCTGACAAATAAGTAAAATCTTTTTAAAAATTTAAAAATAGGGCGCCTGGGTGGCTCAGCTGGTTAAGCAACTGCCTTCGGCTCAGGTCATGATCCTGGAGTCCTGGGATCGAGTCCCGCATCGGGCTCCCTGCTCAGTGGGGAGTCTGCTTCTCCCTCTGACCCTCCCCCTCTCATGCTCTCTCTATCTCATTCTCTCTCTCAAATAAATAAATAAAATCTTTTAAAAAATTTTTAAAAATAAATGTAAAACCAAGTTGCAATGAGAATCTGTGAAGGTATTACTTTAATAAAACAAAAGAAAAAGAGAAAATTGGCCAGGCAGACTTGGGGAAAAAAAGGAAAACCTTCCTGGGGGGAAATCGGAGGGGGAGATGAACCATGAGAGACGATGGACTCTGAAAAACAAACTGAGGGTTCTAGAGGGGAGGGGGGTGGGAGGATGGGTTAGTCTGGTGATGGGTATTAAAGAGGGCACGTTCTGCATGGAGCACTGGGTGTTACGCACAAACAATGAATCATGGAACACTACATCTAAAACTAATGATGTAATGTATGGTGATTAACATAACAATAAAAAATTTTTTTAAAGGAAAACCTTCCTGAAACTTCAATTGGTAAGAATTATATCATGATTCTAACCTCTGTGCACTGAATAAAATATCTGCATGCGTATGTTATATGTGTTTGAAAAAGTGACAGAATTACAAGAAGTTAGCAAATCCATCAACATAATGAGATAATTGCTAGGTCAAGCAGACAACATATTAACAAGGTTATAGAGAATATTTAAAGTGCTATTAACATCTCTTTTCATTCATTTAGCAAATGGTCAAAGATCTCAAGGAGGTGAGAGCAGAAATTCATGTTGATATCTGAAAAAAGATCTTTGTTAACCTTGAAACAAAACTGCCAGTTATTTTACCAGCAAAAGATGGGTTTATTCGGGAACAGCAGAAAATTGCAACGAAGGACAAGCATCTGGTTGCAAAACCATAGGTGAGCACGCACTGCAAAGAAAAGGAACACTCTTCTATAGAGGAAAGTGGGAGTTAGGAGGGCTGTTGAAAACAGAAAGTCCATTGGAGTAAACCAGGAGTTTGAAGTGTAGTGGCTTCTTATTGGCTGGACTGTTGCTAGGGCGAAGTAAGCCCTTCCTCCTCCTGCTAAAGCTAGTCAAGTAGCAGCTGAAGTAGTATCCACCTGCAAGCTTCCCTGTGCCTCTTCCTGCTGGATTTACTCTGGACAAGGAGGCCATGAGAGCTCCCCCTGCAGAACCTCCTGATGCGGTTTTAGTGAGGTTTCCCCTTATTCATTTTCACGGTGCCAAACAATGCTCCACGGTCAGCATTACCTCAGTTTATTTTTCCATTCACCTATTAAAGGACACCTTAAATCCTCCCAGGTTTGGACAAGTATGAATAGAGCTGCTATAAACATGTGTGTGCAAGTTTTTGTGTGGATGCCCGTTTTCAAGTCATTTGGAGAACTACCAAGGAGCACAATTGCTAGACCATATAGGAAGAGTATGCTTAGTTTTGTAAAACAAAACAAAACAAAAAACTGCCAAACAGTCTTTCGAGGTGACTGTGTACCATTTTGCATTTGCACTAACAAGGAATGAGAGTTCCTGTTGCTTCACACCCTCACTAGCATTTGGTGGTGTCAGTTTTCTGGATTTGGGGTCTTTTAACAAGGGTGTAGTGCTATCTCATTGTTGAGTCTTTCATGCATACAAAACACTTACGAGCTAGCTAGCTGCCTCTGATCTCCTGAGGAAGCCCAAAAGTTGGATTTTTAATAGAGCAACCAAAGTATGAAGATCCTGAGAAAAGTCTAAAGGGTAAGGACTTTACATGTGTGTATGTTTGGTATTTACAAAGCATTTTCATGACTATTTCATTCTTAACTCTGCCATATTCAAAACTAGGATTTGTGTCCATGTAGCGGACAGGAAAACAGAAGCCAAACGCACGACTCTTGTGCAAGCTGGATCCCTCACGTTTGTACTGGTTTTGTGACTGGGTTAACGGGCTGGGAAACTAACTTCTTTTCTTAAAATTCTGTCTAGTAAATGTTAAAGCAAGTTCACCGTGTGCCACGCTCTGCTCAGGGATTCAGGGACACAGAGCGGAGTAAGACCACTCACGGAGAAGCCTCCACCAGGTAAAAGGTGTGAAGGCTAGCCAGAAAAACCCTCTTCACATCCACTGAGCTTTGGGTCTGCTGGGTCCTCGGGATGAAGGTACCGGACGAGGCCTGGGACCCTGGAGTGTGGGGGGCTCCGACTGGTGGAAAGACATCCCGAAATTTCCGACTGCAATTCAAAGGAGGAAAACTGCCCTTTCGGGCAGCGGAGAGGGGTCGGGTTGCGCTACTAAAGCGGAAGGGGCTATTGGGAGTTAGTCTGGGGATGCCACAGCCTTTCTATCTTCTTTATTGTAGGAAGATCGTGTTTATAACTTAAAAATATGTAACTTTCAGTGCTCCAGAAACCCTCCAACGGGAGGGTGCCCCCAGAAGCGCTCGCCCCAAAACGAGGGCGGCGGAACGGCGAGCCACAGGGGAAAGGGGAAAGGGGAAAGGAGGGAAAGCGGGCGCGCATACGTGCGCGCTCGCGGCCACGGGAGAGTGTTTGCTCCGCCCCCCGCCCCGTTGACGTGCGCGCGCCCGCGCCTCGTTCTACGAGCGGCGTGCCCGTAAAGAGGCACGGCCGTGTCGTGAAAGGGGCCGCAACGCGCAGGGCGCTGGTTGACGGCTGGGCCTCCATTTTGTTCGCGGCTTCTCTGCTCGTAAGTCGCTTGTTTCCGTGGCTTCTGTGAGGCGAAAAGTTTAAAAAGGGTAAAAGTTTTAAAGAATATTCTGGAAGTCTGTTGGTAAGCCTAGCGAGTCTCCGTTTTCTCTCCGCAGCAGGCGTCGATAGCGCGGTTCCGGAGAGGCGGGGAGAATGCGGCCCTTGGACATCGTCGAGCTGGCGGAGCCGGAGGAGGTGGAAGTGCTGGAGCCCGAGGAGGATTTCGAGCAGTTCCTGCTCCCAGTCATCAGCGAGATGCGGGAGGACATCGCGGCCCTCACCCGGGAGCACGGGAGAGCCCACCTGCGGGACAGGAGCAAGCTCTGGGAGATGGACAATATGCTCATCCAGATCAAGACGCAGGTGGAGGCCTCGGAGGAGAGCGCCCTGAACCACCTGCAGAACCCCGGCGGTGGGCTGGAGGGCAGGGCGGCCAAGAGGTGCGAGAAGGCCGAGGAGAAGGCCAAGGAGATCGCGAAGATGGCAGAGATGTTGGTGGAGCTGGTGCGGCGGATAGAGAGAAGCGAGTCGTCCTGAGGGAGCGCGGGCGGTAAGGCGGGCGGTAAGGCGGGCGGCGGGCGGGGCCGGGGCGGGGCCGGGGCGGGGCCGGGTGGTTGCCAGGCGCGCGCTGGGCCCCGGACGAAACCCGCACCGGTAACGGTGCGCGGGGCGCGAAGCGAACGCGGGGGGAGGAGGCCGCTCGTCAGGGTTCTTGACGCCGGTAGTTGGGGAGAAGGTAGGTCGGAGGGGGTCTGGTTGAAACCCACGATCGCGGTTTATTTTATTTATTTTTTAAAGATTTTATTTATTTATTTGACAGAGAGACAGCGATAGAGGAAACACAAGCAGGGGGAGTGGGAGAGGCAGAAGCAGACTCCTTGCTGAGCAGGGAGCCCGATGCGGGACTCCATCCCGGGATCCAGGATCACGACCTGAGCTAAAGGCAGTCGCTTAACCGACTGAGCCACCCAGGCGCCCCGCGGTTTATTTTAGAACGACAGTCGTTGCAGGTCTTTAGGGAAACTAAGTCACACCAGGGGCCACTGAGCGGGGGGGGGGGGTACAGGGGGCCTTATCCGAGGGAAGGCCACTGCCGGACGATTTCAGATGGTGCCGGAAGACTGGCGTGGGGCAGGGGCGTCCCGAAGAGCTGGCGTCCTGCGTGGTTGAATTCGTGAGGGGTGTTGATTGGTTTTCTTCAGGATTTTAATCTCAGTGATGGCTTTCTCCCACCTGCGCCTTAGGTTTACAGCCACCGGATTCTGGTCAACTGATGGAGATTGGCTGACATCCTTGAGAAGCTGGAACCAGAGAGCCTTTTGTTTTCTCTTTTTTTTCCTCTGTCTACACTCTGTCCTCACTTACACTACGTTTCTGCTATGGTCTGTGGTTGACGACCTCAAAATAAGTTCTGTTAAATGTTTTTGGTTGGGGAAGTAACTTTAATTTGGAAGATGCTCTCACACGAGAATTAGGGCCTAGATTGTAAGCTCTTGCAGCAGTCACGTTTGTTCCTGGGCTTTGGTTATTTCTAAATTTTGAGGTGCTTTGTGCTTTCTTGTGTGACTTGATAGCTCCCTGGAACTTTGAGTCTGTGTCACGTGAGACTCAAGAGCTGGGGTTTTCCAGCTCTGGAGGCGCTGAAGGAGCGGCGCTACTTCTAGAAGATTGCTTCGTGCAGCAGCTGCTAAAGAAGCTGAAGAAGAAGGGACCAGACTTCAACTGGAAATGTGAATGGAGCTGATCTGGCTAGAACTGATGAATCAGAAGGCAGTGTGGAGGATGGTAGTGTCTGTATTTCGGGACTTTGATTTCTGTGTGAGACCAAAGGAGAAGAGATGTATTTTGTTCAAAATTTAAATTTTATGTGGCACGCTATCTGATGTAACCTGTCTGATCAGTTTGTTTGGACAACCCAACTCAGCTTTATTTGATGTGGAACCTAGAATAGACAAGATCTCGGTTTTGTACAAGTTGATGTAATACTCTGATGCATTTCAGGGGATTCCGGGCATAAAATGGAAAAGAGATGTGCAAAGGCTCTTGAGGGGCTGGGAAAGGAAAGGAGGACTGTCTGCATTGGACCCTAAACTGGACAGGGACTAGGTATTTCTGAAGTTCATAAGTCGTCCTGCTATAAGTTCATTTGAGTAGCAGACTTGACAAGTATTTGAGGTCAAAACCCTACCATGTGTAATAAAAAGGAAAAAAAAAATGACCATGTTAATAAAAGTGTTCATTTGCTTGAAAAGACAAAAGACCTAAAAAGTTATTGACTAAAATCTTACTTCTCTCAAAATGAAATCAAAGTCACTGCCAAATGGAAGATGAATTTCTCACGGTTTTTGAGGCTCTCAGTAAGCCTCGTCATGGGGAACATTTATCTCTGCATGCTACTACAGGAACCGGTCGAGGAAAGGACAGACTCGGTTCTTAGCGTAGGAAGGGACCTCCCAAAATCCTGTGGTTTGGGCCATTGCCTTCAGAGAACCAAGCCAGAGTACTTTCAGGCACCTAACCTAAAAAACTGGAACATTACTCTAGCCCTCGCATTAGGAATATTAACGATGTCATGATTACAATGGTGTGGTGGACCACACCCCTCCCCAGCACCTTCAGAAATGAAGTGCTTACTCCCCAGCTGCTGAAAGTATTGCTGACAGACAGCCCTCAGCTGGTCAGCCCTCTCGAGAAGACTGTTTGCTTAAGAGAGCTGCCTTTGCAAAGTTCATGGCCCCCTTCCTGGGTGGCCCGTATCCAGTAACTAACTGGCTAGGAGACTAAGGGCTCTTTCCCTCTCACTGCAAGTTGGGACAACTTTGAAGGGCATCTCTGTGTGAGCTCCCTGTGGGGTCTCCTGAGGCTCTTGCTAGGCCTGCCTAGGCTTAAGGACCTCCCCTTCCACAGGGCCTAATCCCTCATAAACTTAACCTGCACTGTAATTTTCATCTTAAAGTCAGCTTGCTGGGAAGCCCAATTGGTAAGTGTAAAACAGTAGGAAGCCATGTGTGTCGAAGGCTACATATCCTGTCTCGGGGAGAGTTAAGAAGCATTTCAGAGCAAATAACTGGTGAAGGCTTTGAAAGATAAGTACAGCTTCTGAGAACAAGAAGAGAATAAGGGACATCCAGGCACGAGGACCAATGTGAGGAAATGCCGGAAGTTCCAAATTTTCTCTGTGGGTCCTAATGGTAAGAAGTGGGTAGGATGAAATTATGAACCAGGAAACAACAGCCACCAAAAAAGTTAAGTTTGGTAATTTGCTAAAACTAGGAAGTTAACATTGGTATAATACTAACTGGACTACAGGCTTTATTCTGCTTTCACCAGTTTTCTAGTAATGCCTGTTCTACTGTTTCAGGATACCACATTGCATTTGGTTTGTTGACTTAAAACGAGTAACACAAATGCACAAAATTAAGATGAAGTGACCCGTTCCTGTCCCCGTCTTCCCAGTTGCCCTCTAGGAAAACAACCATTTAGCAGTATCGTATACCCTTCCAAATATGCATATTTGAGCACATATATATATAACTCTCCCCAACCTTGGGGATTTTTTGGGTTTCTTTTGGTTTTTTGTTTTAAGATTTTATTTATTTGACAGAGACACAGCAAGAGTGGGAACACAAGCAGGGGGAGTGGGAGAGGGAGAAGCAGGCTTCCCGCCGAGCAGGGAGCCCGATGCGGGGCTCGATCCCAGGACCCTGGGACCATGACCTGAGCCGAAGGCAGACGCTTAACGACTGAGCCACCCAGGCGCCCCAGAATTTTTTATTATATATCTACATGTCCTTTATAAACCCCCAGGCTCTCTGTCCCTTTCCTGGCTGTGCTTCAGAGTTCCAGTCATGGACAGCTATGCAGAAAGGCCTGCTGGGGTTCTTGGCCAGGTTCTCTCCATTGCACAGCCTCCCTGAAGCTGGAACCTATCTTTGCTCAGGTGCTTCAGGTGTGACAAGTGTCCTTTTATATCAAATGGGGGCTGTGGGAGCATAAAGCTCTGGAAAGGCATCTGAGAAGAGATAGGCAAAGTATTATGTAACAGAAGTTCTGATAAGAAATGGAGGCAAAGTATGCAAAATGTTCACAATCTGTAAGAATCAGGCTGGGAAGACCACAAAGTAGCCCTACAGAGGCTTCTGCATCTAGATGTTTCATCAGCTGACATGACCCCAGGGAAGAAAGCAAGTTTAATTCTAGTGGACATGATAGGACTGACAATAGTTGAGGATACAATCAACACTTGGGGGCAAGGATTAACAAAAATGACTCAGGGGTGCCTGGCTGGCTCAGTCAGTAGAGTATGCAACTCTTGATCTTGGGATCATGAATTCAAGCCCCACACTGGGTAGAGAGCTTACGTAAAAAATAAAGTGGAAAGTTACTCCCAAGTAAAGGGAGGACACTCCAAGGGGTTCTTAACCTTGCTGAAGATAAAACCTTAGAGTCCGGGCTGCCATGGAACAGAGAGACTGGGAAACAGGAAATCTGGCTCCCAGCCATCCTGCTACTGCTCTCTGTGTGATCTTGGGCAGATACTGGCTTGTCCGAGGTTATTTCCAGCACAGGCATTCTGTGTGACTTCTAGAACTAAAGCTCACCTGGCACAAAACGCTGTAGAGGCCATTAGTGCATAGAGCACTTCCTAGCCCCCTCCTGGGTGAGGGGGCGTGGCGGGGGGGAGAGGGAGAACGAGAGAGATGAATTATAGCCAGTGACTTGTGAGGGAAAGTAGCACATGTCGCATCCAAGCTGAAACCTCCCAACAGGAAACCCTCCAGAGTTCTCTGTGGCACAGGAACAAGCAACATTCAAGATGGTGGTTGATCATCAGCCTATGTTCCTTTGATAAGTGTAGTTTCCCTGCCAACCTATGATGAACACGTAGCACAAACAAGGAAGACCTTAGTTGTTTTAATCCCCTGAGATTTGGGGATTGTTATGATGACGTGAGCCACACTTAAGTGACTGATGATGATACTTTCACCCTTTCTTCTTCTCCTTGTGTTTGATGAGAGGGTTGTCCTTCCTTCTCTCTAGGCCTAGAGCCTCATTTGTCCTCACATCCCTTCCACTTGCTCAGGGCATTTGTCTCCAAACAACAGTCTCCTTTCTCATTCATTTGTAATTGTTCGCTTTTGCCCTCAAACAACTCCCAAGATGAAAGAACTCAAATTCAAGTCCCTGGTGCTGGAAACTTCCCGGCAGCAGATAAACATGGAGTAGGTTAAGTTTCCACCATCTTCCAAAAATAAATGGGGATTTGTTACCTGGTTAACACTGTGGCCAGATAAATAAATCCATCCAGGGCTTGCTTCAGTGCTGCCCAAAATAGGTGAGGGCTTCCACTAGTCAATTCTATTTTCCTCTTTTCTGATCCCCATAATGCTCTGTAGTTCTTTTTTCCTGTTTACATCCCCATTCCTCCTCCCTTCAAACTCCTTGATTCACAAAATCCTCCATTCCATTATTCCCAAACTCACCCATATTATTCTTTGCCTCTTCAAAGAACGTTTCTTTACCACCTGTGACAACTGCAACGAGACTTCCCAAAGCCCTGGGCTTTCCTGCAGCCTGGTTGGTGATGATCCCTAGCAGGATGCAACTGATCAAGGACTGCATTTTTGACAGTGGGGGAAAGCAGGGAGGGGAAAAAGGACACAAGGAATAAAAGGTCAGGGTTTTGACGAGGAACTTGTCACAGCTATGGATGGTATACACTAAAGGGATGGGTGGGGAAATGAAAAGTAGGAGAACTACAGGAGACAGTAGCTATTAAAGTGAATTGAAGGGTCAGTGAGGTTAAAAAGAAAAGGTGCACGTGACTATAGAGCAAATGTCACCTAGGAGGACGGGGTCGTGGTCAGAAAGGAAGAGGGCTGAGCAGGTATTGAGCAGGTTTGGGGCAATAACAAGCCCCAAGTCACCCTTGGGAATAAGTGGCCAAGGGACGTTGAGGAGCTCATCAGATGTGAGGAGGCTGGGGGTCTGGGAGCCCATATGTGGGATGGCCATGGAACTCATCCAAGATGATGGTGGGACATGGGGTGGAAAAGAAGGCCAGGAGCTGGGTGCCAAATTGTACAATGAATGAGGGGGATCCAACACGGGAGGGGGGGTCGGAGAAGGATAGCAGTGGGGAGGGGGAGAGGGTGGTCGGATGAGCAGCATACACTCTAAAGGAATGCCACCTTAGACAAGAGGCAGGACGAGCAGTGGTGTAGCGATGGCCAGGGGAAAGGCTGGTACCAACTCCTGACTGAGGCACAAGGAACAAGGGGAATCCAGCAGCTCTCCCTTCATGGACCTGAGGACCATGCGGGAATAGTCCAGCAAGAGGCAAGGTTGGGGTGGAGGGCAGGGAGCCAGGCAACAGTTCACCAGTTCCTACAGGACCAGGAGAGGGCTTGGGGGTGGAGAGCATTATGGGAAACGTGTCCTAAGAATAGTGCCCCAGGCCGATTTCTACTTGGTTCATCAGCGGGATAGACAGGGGTGATGAGCATGGTAAATCTGGTCCTGAATGTAGTCTGAGGGCAGATGGGCATGGCCTTGGCATGACCACTACGGCAGAGCCAAAAAAGAAGAAGCCATCTTAAAGATGAGACGAGCCTGAGGTCTTTCTCAAGCATGTTGTTGAAAGGTCCTTCCCCAGATAGTGGGTGCCACCCAAGCAGCAAAGACCAGATCCTGACTGTCACCTTCCAATCAAAGCCACTCGTTCCCCAGGGGCACCAGTGAGTTGAGAGAGCAGGGGAAGGACACAGAGACCAGTTAACAAAAAAACTCGTCTTGACAAGATTTGTGGCTGTAATTACATGCACGTTGGAACCGACTGAAAGTAAACAGAAAACACCCTAGGGTTTTGAAGAAATTATACTGGCAAAGAAATTCCAAGCAGGGTGTGCTAAATCCTGTGGTTGATGAACCGGAGGAACAGATGAGCCCCACACCTGCAGTAGCAGGAACCGGGCTTCCTTCCAGTTTGCCCCCAGAAGGGTGCCCTTAAAGTCCAAGGTATGTTTCATGTGTGGCCTGGGAGGATAATAGACAAGGAAGAGCCTCCCTGAGTAGCTCTTCCTGAAGACCACGACCAGGAGGCGCTCAATGGGCTCAGCTGGGAGCCCTGCACTCCTGCTTGTGGCCTCTGATGGCTCCTGACCCCCAAGCTCAGGAAACTTCTACTACAAGCTTCTGCCTAGCTGTCAAGCTCAGCTTTTAGAAACAAACTAACAGACTGCTGGAACAGAAAAAGACA